TATGAAAATAAAATGGGGGACTGAAGCAATAGCACGGAGGTTAAGGTGCTTGCTTTGCATGTGGCTGACCCTGGTTTAATCACTGGCACCATATATGGTACCCCAAAAACATGAGGAGTGATTACTACACACAGAGCTAAGGAAAAGCCCTGAGCACTACCAGGTGTGGCCCAAAATTAATAAGTAAAAGAAAAATGGGTTGGAGTGATAGTCCAGAAGGTGGGTTTTGCTTTGTAGGTGGCTGACTTGGTTTCAACCCCCCGCATTCCCTATGGTCTCCCAAGCACCACCAGGAGTAATTCCTGGGGGCAGAGCCAGGAGTATCATTGGGTGTGGCCTCCCTCAAAAAAAAGTGAAAGAAAAGGAATATTAATATATGCCAACCTTAAAGCAAAACAAAAATAACATATTGCCTTCGTTCGGTTCAGTTTCAGAACACTGAGAGATGCTTCCAATGACATTTTGTCAATGTTACCAGGGTCTTATGGAGGAGAGAGATGCCAGGGCACTTTACTCTGTCATCTTTGATGACACATTTCCCTGCTGCTTCTACTATGCTACTTATCACAGACTTCACTTACATAGTTACAATCAATTTATGTTCCTATTATCTTCCTTACCAGAAATGAGGAAAATTTATATTCTTCACCAGAACTTGATAATTTCCCAATGCTTCATAATTGTTCTAAATAAAGGTCAGTAGTTTCATAAAACCGAATGGATTTAAAAATATTGTATCATTAAATACATGAGTATTAAAAGGATCTCATAAACCACATTTTCCCACATGACCAATATATGATTAAAAGCACAGTCGCACTGTCCTCCCATTGATCATCGATTTGCTCAAGCGGGCCCAGTAACATCTCCATTGTGAGACTTGTTGTCACTGTGTTTGGCATATCGAATACGTCACGGGGAGCTTGCCAGGCTTTGCTGTGCAGGCACGATACTCTTTGGTAGCTTGCTGGGCTCTCCGAGAGAGGCAGAGGAATTGAACCCAGGTCAGCCAGACTGGCCACATGCCAGGCAAACGCCCTACCGCTGTGCTATCGCTCCAGCCCGATATGATTAAAAGATGCATGCGAAATAAATATTTTACATGCATCTTTTAAAAAAAGATCCCCATTGGCTTTCATGTAGCAAGATTATTGATGGGGTTTTGGATTCTATATCTGTACCAGGACACATTTCCTTCTAATGCTTTAAGTCAAGCACTGTACTGCAAGACAGAAAATGCAGACACACACAAAAGTCTCACCATCTTCTATAATATATAATAGACATAATACATGTAATATAAAAGCATATCACTGTCATAAAATTTTACTTTGCTTGGGATCGGTATCTCCATACAAATTACTTACGATAACATGTAATAAGTTTTTGTTCTTTGAAAATGAATGAATAAATGCTTAATTTTTTTCTTTTTAATTGTAATATGGTCTGTATTGATAGAGTAACTCCCTCCTCAGGCAAATGATCTGAACCCTCAAAACTTTTTTTGAGAATTAAAAGATGTTCTCTGTTGCAAAAGTTTGAGACTCTGGTTTAGACTGATCCAAAGGGCTTCAACTCAAAAAAAGCCACCTGTCCCCCCACAGTCTACACCCCTCCATGTATCCCACTTTTTCATATGCTCATGCCAGTGTCGTATCCATAGTGGCTCTTGCTTGAATGTAACTTAATACAAATTTCAGCATGGATGCCTTAAAGAAGCTCATGCCTCCTTTTCTTTCATATGGAAAGGATAACTTTAGAAAAAACCTAGAGGTTTCCAGAAAGACTCCAACCACAAGGAGAAAGAAAAAAAAAGCTCTCACTTCCTTTGGCCAAAAGAAAGGCTTTTGGCAAGGCAGGAACTCAATCGATTGTAGTGACACTTCCTTGCCCCATGTTGTGCTTCTCTGTCACTCCACCGTGCGCCTCATAGTTCCTTCCACCAGAGTCTAGAAAAGACGCTGAGCTCCAGCCCAGTTTGCCCCATGCCCTCCGTTCCTGCCCGAGCTCCACCTGACCAGCCCAAACCCTCTGCCTCTACTGCACCACTTAGCCAGACCTGGCCCAGGTTCTCCAGACACTTATGTGCCGTCTCTCAGCAGATTTTTATATTTGCATCTGGACCTGATGCCTCCTGCGTTCCCAACTCTTTCCCGACTCTTGCCACAATCCAGAATCCCAGGATATACCCTATCCCCTGGAGTCACTTGACCAGAGAAAACCAAACTTAGGACAGGAGCCTTTGATTTGCATTAACAATTTTTTTCTTTTAAATATTATTTTGTTTGGGGGAAGGCCATTCCTGGCAATGCTCAGGGTTTTATTCCTGGCTTTGCACTCAGGAATCACTCCTGGCAGGCTTGGGGACCTTATGGGATGGCAGGGATCAAACCCAGGTTGGCGGTGTGCAAGGCAAACACCCTCCCTGCTGTGCTAGTGTGCTGGCCCCAGCCCTTCCTTTCTTCCTGGTGTTGGTTTCCTGGTGGGACTTCCAGAGCCAGGGCCCAGTAGCAGAAGCTGCTGGTTTCTCCCCTTCCTCCTGGCTTCATTCCTTTCGGGAAATCCTTCAGTACCTAAAAGCCCCAGCTAGGCATATGAGGAGAAGCTAGCTAGCACATTAAGTAGTTGTTAAGGAAGCATGCAACCCACGTGGGCTTTCTTGCCCAACTGTCTCCCCTCTTCTTTAAAGTGCTCAGAGATCATTATCCACAGTGTGTCAGCCACAAACCATAACAGTCTCTCAGGCAATCGTGAACCACTTAGAAAGTAATGACCCTTAATCCAGGCTCATTTCCTCTCCAGTGTGCTTAAGACGCCTTGTAAATCTATTATCAGCTCAAACACACGGTCTACCAAATCATCCATAACCAAACCATGACCATGACCCTCTCCCTCACGTTCAATCCCTCCCACATGAAGCAGACGTCATCAAGTCATGTTTCTGGGTTGCTCTCATTTCCCCTCCTTGACTCTGGAGAACCAACTCCACTCTGCTCCTTGATAAATCTCTTACCTGGTCCTTCACCTCTCTGCCTTTTCGACTCTTGCATGTCTTGCCCTCTCTCCAATCACAGTGTCTTGGGAGGCGAGGCTTCCCGAGCAGAGAGCTCCTGACCTGGGTAATCAGGAAGTCAGGATTTACTTGGATTAATTTGGGGGGTTCGGGGCTGGAGAGATAGCACAGCGGGTAGGGTGTTTGCTTTGCACGCGGCCAACCCGGGTTCGATTCCCAGCATCCCATATGGTCCCTTGAGCTCCGCCAGGAGTAACTCCTGAGTTCAGAGCCAGGAGTAACCCCTGTGAATCGCCAGGTGTGACACAAAAAACAAAAAAAAAAAATTGGGGGGTTTCACCCATGGTGCTTTTTGTCATTTCAGTCAGCTCATGTCTTTGGGATAATTACAACCAGGTGCCCACATTTCTGCCCCTTGGATTCTGGAATTTGACTAGCACATTTGCTGGGGGAGTCACACCTGGCAGTGTCTTGGGGGTCACACCTGGCAGTGTCTTTGGGATCTTCACAACCAGGCACCCACATTTCCCCCCTTGGATTCTGGAATCTGACTAGCACATTTGCTTGGGGGTCACACATTCTCAGGAGTCACTACTGCTGGGCTCTGAGCACTAGCGTTCTTGGCTGTGCTCAGGGGACATTTATAGAGCCCAGGATGGAGACAGGCTAAATGCTTTGACTCTTCCTGTGCTGTCTCTCTGGCCCCTGATGATCCTCTGTTGGTGTCTTCTGCTCCGTGTAGGAATGGCGCGGGCATTCTGGTCTGAGTGCCTTCGCCCGCCCCCCCCTAGGACACACACATCACAGGGGCTTTGCTCTCCCAAGCCCCTGCCCACCAACCTCTTCTTTCAACCTCCAAGTAACCTCATGAAACAGGCAGGAGTCAGTCGTGTGGCTCCCAGATCATCCTACATTTCAGTCTCCCCTTTACTGTTGGCACGACAAGGCAGATCAGGCCTGGGCTGGCCTGTCTCAGCCACCTCGAGTGGCCTCTGCTTGGGCGTCAGGAAACCAACACACCAACTAGCAAAATTGGAGCTAGAGACTGCTCTTGGAAAACAGAGCCTCTGGAAGTGAAGGGGTCGCTGCACTTGTATAAGCTGTGGGAGATACTGGCATCCCTCCAGCAAGAAAGAGGCAAAGGAAGGCTGAGTGAGGGTCTCCGGCATGGAGCCCCCTGGGTTAGATTCTGGACGTGGCTTACCCAAGCCAGCCAAGGAAGTTCTAAGGAAATTCTCTCCAACCAGATCTCAGCTTCTCCAAATAGCTGGGGACTTCTATACTGGGTAAAACATAGAGAGACATTAGTAACAATCTTAATGGACACAGGAGGGATCCTCACGGTCAGTCTCTGGCTCCACGTGGAACTAGGCTAGAAGGACCTTCGCTGTCTTGTCCTTCCTGGAACAGGAGAGCAGGTATGGTATGATCCAGGCATCAGTGCCTCCCTAGCATGAGCCAGGTCCAGCCCCCGTATGTGCTGTGTGAGTCCCAGCAGCCTGTGGCCGAGTGGTGCCTGGTTCCGGGGATCCAGTCAAAGGACCTCGGGGGCTGAGACCTGGGAGGGACCGACCTCCCCTCACAGACTTGCACTGACACGCACAGGCTTGTTACCATCCCATCTTAAACCACCTCCATGGCATAGTGTGGTCATAAAGTGAGTTATTCCTACCCTGCTAGAATCCCTCCCTCCCTCCCAGATGGTGTCTCCCTCTGGCGCACCCCTTTCTAGATCGCTGGACACTAAAATGTCTTAGAATAGGAGAGGGGGAGAGAGCCAAGCTGGCATCCCTTCCCTCTGTCTCGCTCTATGTTTTCTACTTGGGCATGATTCTGGGAAGTCATCTGGGAAAATGCTGGGGGTTCCCCAAACAGGCCCAGTGGCTTCTGAGCCCTGTCCAGGGGGACCGCAGGGCTCCCCAAGTGCACCCCGCTTTGAGTGACCCCCTGCCCCCGTGGGCTTACCTGTCTGTGCTCTCGCTCCTAGCTGCACCCAGGACGACGCTGCCGTCTACCAGGTCTCTGCCAGGAACGGGCAGGGCATGATCTGCTGCTCTGCCTCCCTAGAAGTCGAGCGCCCGACCACCCTGCCGGACCCTGGGGCCCCAGAGACCAGGCCGGTGGACTGCGAGAAGGCCCCTCCTAACGAGGCCCAAGCCAGGACCTCCTGGGCCGCCCCCGGGTCAGCTGACCCCCCCTCCTCCCAGAGCCATGGCTTAGCCTGGGGCCAGTCGCTGGCCAACGGTGACCTCAGCGCATCCAGTACTGACCATCCCCGCGGCGCGGAGGCCACCAGGCAGACGGAGGAGCTGGTCCACGGGCAGCTCCGGCCAGAGTCCAGTCCTGCCTCTGTGGCCCAAGATGGGCATCGCCCCTCAGGCTCTGCACCTCGGCCCATCTCCGGGGTCCAGGAGAAGGAGGCCTTGAGCCATGCTGGCCCCAGCCATGCCGCCTTCAGCGCTGCTCCTCCAAACCCCAGAGCCGAAAAGTACATTAGCTTCAGTCTCCCGCTGCCACCACCCCCGCCGGTGACAGCTGAGTCGGGGACCCTGGGCCAGCCAGCAGCCTGCTCCAAGCACCCCAGCCCTCGGCTCCCCAGCGAGGACTCCGACAGCGACTATGAACTTTGCCCGGAGATAACCTTCACCTACACGGAGAAGTTTTCAGATGATGACCTGGAGTATCTGGAATGTTCCGATGTGATGACGGATTACTCTAATGCCATTTGGCAACGGAGTCTGCAAGGGGCCGAGCGGGTTTTTTTATTAGAAAGCGATGACGAAGAGCCGGAATTCAGCGAGCGGGGCCTGGAGGGATGTGAGCCGCTGGGCAGTGACACGGGCGGTGGACCTGGGGTGTCGGGTAACACGGCGCCTATGGATTCCACCCCAGACGACGTCTGTGGTCATCACTCACGGCCCCGAGAAGTGGGGGTGAGGAGTCACCCCGCCTCCCCCCACCGGCCCTCATCCCCCATGACCCTGGCTCGGGGACCTCACCAGGCTGGAATGTCCACGGTAGCGGACCAGCGGGGCTATAAACGCCCCACAGCGTCTGGGGCCGCGGGAAATGATTATCCAGGAATTCCGGGAGACACCAGAGCCGGAGAGGAATTCGGCAGTGACAAGCTGCTGAACATGGAGGAAGCAGGAGCGGGGACCGAATCCCGTGAGCTGGAGACAGCAGCGGGAAGAGACCAGGGTGCGGAGCCCGTTGGAACCCAGGGGAGAGCGGGAGAGAAGGGACCGTTGGGAAAGAGGAATTCCGAGAAGCCTTCCCGGGGGAAGCGGCCGGCGATAATGAAGGGCAAAGTGAAGAAGCTCAAAGGAAGTGTCCCCAGAGCCCCGCCCGACCAGCTGCTGGGTCCCACAGGGCCAGCTCAGCAGCCCCTCAATCAGGCTGGCAGCAGCGAGGGCCCCTGTGCCCTGGCAGAAGCCGCCCTTCCTGATGCCCAGCCTGCCGGAGGAGGTGCTTCTCGGTCCCCGGTGCAGCCAGCGGGTCCCCCGCTGCAGACCCAGCCGTGGTGCCCCCTCCCCCAGGACGCCCGTGTGGACAGCGGAGAGCAGGCTTGCTCCCAGCACCTGCCGGAAACAAGTTGTGCTCCGAAGGGGAACGATCGCCCACAGGTAAGATTCCACTTTTAAAAGCGAGAAAGAAGGAAGCTAAAGGGGGCGTGTGTGCCGGGCCGTGTCTCTGGGGGCCGTTCCGCAATGGAAATGGGAATGCGCCTCCTGGTCCGCCCAGGGTACCTGTGCATGACAGCTGCGGCGAGGAAGGAAATCTGGGTTTGACAGAAAGCCCAGATAAACCCTAAGCCATCCTAATTATAGCAAAAGGCAGATAAAGTAAGAGCCACTAATGGGATTCTGGACAGCTGGAAAAAGAAACCCGATCTTGGTTGGATTGCATGTGTTTTAACCAGGCAATGTCACCATTCAGAAAGGGCTGCAGGAGAAGGGTTTGGGGGACTGTGTTTAAAAGGGGGGAGAGGAAACAAAGAAATCGGTCGAAAGCCGATCCTTGGTCATTTCCCTCTAGAGGTGCTTTGAAAATGCTGGTGCTGGCTGCCTGTCGTCTTAATTCGTGACGTGCGTGGATGGTTGCGGTGGGTCTGAAGTCTGACTGGATTCACTTAGTGAGGCTGGGGGACTCAGGTTTTGTGAAGCCGGTGAGGTGTTTCTGAAGGGCTGTGTGTTTTATTTTCTTAGCCTTCGAGTGTAAAAGGGGCGAAGAAAATATTGCCAGGATGTTAATGTGTTTCGCCCTGCTACTGGTTTGGGGGCATGTATGAAAGAGATGGAATTAAGTTGGTGGGAATAATTAATGCGCAAAGGATCTTGTGTTTGCTCTGTGGACTTACAAAGGCGCTGTTAATTCTCAAGAATTCCAAATGCACTGGCTTAGAACTCAATGCCCTCCTAGGCCGTGCATGGATTTGTGTCAAGAAATACCTCAGAAAGATGATCGATCAATCATTTTTGGCAATCCTTGGCTTCTCCCTTCCTCCAATTTTGCAGGAGGAACTTAGTTTTGTTTTTCTAGAGAACAAAATACACCCAAATGCAAAGTGATGGACAGCTCCCTGTGAAAATGTTAAAATTTTGTGCATTGATTTCGAAAGATCCAGTGCTAAAGAGTCAATCTAAAGATTCTCAGTAATTATTGACTAAGCAAAACGTCCTGTTCCAGACTGATTTAGCCAGATAAAGGCCACGCACACTTTATCCTTTGCAGGGGAGTCATTTGTTTCTTCTCCTGCTTGGTTGTTTAACACTTGGCTCTTAGCTACCCGGACACAGAGACCACAAGCTCACGCCCAAGAGAAGTTATGGAGGTGGGTAGTTTGGCAAAATATTTTTTTGAAAAAAAAAAGTTACCAGGTGCATTTTTTCCCCTGTCAATATGTAAGTTTTGTTTCAATAAATTCTTATTTCTATCTGTGAAATGGAGAGCTGAGTGCCGTTAGCTCATCCATTGAGTGTGTTTCATTGGGGAAATTGCTCTCATTGTAAAAGATTTCCAGAAGGGGTGCATGTGAGGAAGTTGGAGTGGTGGTCAAGGGGGCAGAAAGGAAAGGACAGAGGAGAGGAGGCTGGGGACCACCCCCGTGTTGGACCACCCCACTAGGGAGGGATTTCTAGCCTCTTGGCTGCCCACAATTGAGAAAAGCTGTAGGTAGGCACCCCCCTTTATCTTTAACCAAACCCCTAGTGCAGAAACTGGGCAAGACCACGGGCTCCCGGGGGGAGCAGTGAGCAGAAAGACTTCGGAGCCAACAGCCTTGGTCTCTGCCAGTGCTCAGGGGACTGATCCTTACACATAAGTGCACACACATTCACACACACTCGCACACACATGCACACATGCACACACATCCACTGATTCTGCCGCTTCTCAGGGTGTCTTGTGGGGCATCCAAGGCCATGACCTGCGACCCGTGTGTGTGTGTGTGTGTGTGTGTGTGTGTGTGTGTGTGTGAGAGAGAGAGAGAGAGAGAGAGAGACAGAAAGCTTTCCTGGGCTCACTGAGCAGTGCTCGCTCCAGGGAAAGCCAGCAGCTGGGACAGAAACAGGACTGCAGGTCTGTGTGTGTGTGTGTGTGTGTGTGTGTGTGTATGTGTGTGTGTGCTCCTACCTGGGTTAGAAACGGGGTCTCAGGGATCCAGGATCTTAACTCTCCCCTGAGCAAGGCGGGCAGATTTGGTGTCAGCAACAGGTGCCGGCAGTGTGGGTGGTTCTGTCCACACCGCAAGGGGCTGCCTGCCTGCCGGGGTCTGCTTCTGACTCACGAACCCAGCATGGCCAACTCACCGCCTGGCCTGAGGCCCCGCTACTGTGACGCCAAGGCTCCGGGGGCTTGGGGAGGGAAGCTGGACTTTTCAGTTAAGAAGGCTCCAAGAGCAGCCGCCTCGTCTTTCTGTCGCTGGGCCAGAGAGATGCTTAGGCTATTATTGCGGCTCGAGCGTCGCCCTGGAACCCGCCTCTCGTTTGCCTGTCTCTCTGTCTCTTTGCTTGCCTATTTCCACTCCAGAGAACACATACTACTCCTTTCTCTCCCCTCACAACTTCCTAAATAAGGTTCAATGAAAAACTCTGCTGCCTCACAAACAAAAAAAAAAAAACATAAAGGAAGAAAAAAAAAGATCTTTATTCTCCCATAGCTGGGGCTTGCGTCAACCTCAATGTTTGACTGGGTTTCAAGTCCTTATTTGGGGTGAGGCGATGAGCATAGATTTTCCCCCCTGAGGACTGGGGCCAGGTTCACTTACCTGTCAGGTGTGTCACTGTGGAAACGGGCCAGCAGTTTCTCTTAGGGTGTTAGCTTTCCTGTGCGTGGATTCGGAGCGGCCTGACTTTGGTCCCTTTCTCTGGCTCTGCAGCTGAGCACGGCTCTGTGGGGAGCTCTTTGCCGCCTGCTCCCTTGGCCCTGGGCCCTCCACCCTCCTCCCCTGCTTTCCCCCACGTTGTACTCTGCCCGGCTAGTGTTGGAAAGGCCCCAATTTCCCTACGTTTATGGAGGACTCCAGAGTCAGCCCCAGTGTGGGAGGGGAGCCGGGCGAGGGTACCCCGGGCGAGCTTGAACCGTTTTCAAGGGCTTCGAGCCAGCCCCTCCCCTGGGTTCTGGCCTCACCGTCCCCCTGCCAGTCGGCCCAGCTTGAATTTCTCCCTCGCGGCCTGGGGTCAGACCATCTACGCTCCGCAAAGCACAAGTGTAGCATCTGTCCTCCCGCCCGAACCCTCCCGGCGACACCCCAGAAACAGCCGCCTCTCTTGGGGTCCCAGGGTGGAGGGGGTCTCCAGAGTGCAGTGCGCAAAGGCATGCTGAGGGTCTGCGGGAATGGCCGGAGCAGTTGAGGGGGGGCTGTGTAGAGGGGTGCTCCCGTGCAGCGCCATCTGTCTCCTCCGCTTACTTCCCATCTCTGGACTCGGACCTGCCACACGGGTGACGCTCAGTACAGACCCACCGAGTGCGCCTCCTCGAGGCCACACCCCAAGTTCAGGTCAACATGCGCCTTCTGATCTCTGGTCTCAGTCTCAACTGGCCTGCACAGCCTTTGGGTCCCTTCACGGCACACGAGTCCATGGCCCAGGGCTAGAGCACAGGACTGTCAGGGGTGCCGCCCCGAGTGGGGTCCACAGCACTGAAAGCACAGGCACAAAGGTGAAAGAAAGAAGAGGATACTGCCGACATCCCACTGGGAGTGGCCCCATTACTCTGTGTGTGTCTGTCTGTCTGTCTGAGAGTGTGTGTCTAAGTGTGTGTGTCTCTGTGTATATCTGTGTCTGTCTGTATGAGAATGTGTGTCTGAGTGTGTGTGTCTCTGTGTGTGTATATCTGTGTATGTACGAGTGTGTTTCTGTGTGTGTTTGTATGTATGAGTGTGTGTTTCTGTGTGTGTATGTTTGTATATGTATATGGTGTATCTCTGTGTGTGTCTCTCTGTGTGTCTGTCTGTGCAAGCACATGTTGGGACTGGAGTGGTTGGCACAAAACTGTCGACGTGGAGGCTGGAGTGATAGCACAGCGGGTAGAGCGTTTGTTTGACTTGCACATGGCTGACCCAGTTTCAATCTCTGGCATCCCGTATGGTCCACCTGAGCACAGCCAGGAGTGATTCCTGAGTGCAGAGCCAGGAGTAACCCCGGAGCATCGCCGAGTGTGACCCAAAAAGAAAAATAAATAATTAACTATTTTTAAAAAACTAGAACTAAAACTAAAACCTATCCACATCTTGCATGCGGGGCACACACCTCCCCATGCATTGTGAGGTCTCTCAGGCAGGTTTGATCTGCCTCCCGGGAGCCACCTACCCTTCC